TCCTCCCCGCTCTCGGCCCCGGGATTGCTTTAAAGGGAGAGCGCCTGCACACAGGGAGCGCTGTTTGACATCCCCTCCAAGACGCACCGCACTCCCCGTAGCTCTCCATCACTCCCTGGGCGACTGGGTGTGCCATGACGATGAGTCCCAACAGCTGGACTCAGTGATGGCCCTGGTCCCCCCTGCAGAGCCCGTTTTAGCGAGCGCGTTTGTCTGCTCATCCAGAAAATTCTTATCCCACCGGCTGAGTTTGCTTTACCCCTTCCCAGGGCTGCAGGGAGTGGAGCCGCCAAGGGCTGGGCACACCAGACCCTATCCAGAAGAAAGCTGTGAACCCTTTCCTAAAGCTGACACCCTGCCACACTTCTGCTTCAGATATCATCAGATGTTTTCATTTTCTCCTGCCAATATTATCTTCATCATTATTCAAGCAGGAGCCGAGGCTTGCAGGTCTGTGGGTTTTAATCAAAACTGGAATTCTCTTCACACAGTCACTTATCTCTGTGTTGCCGGAATGAAGCAAGGTGTTTGGTGCGGTGTTATTTAGAGCATCCCGCAGTGTGAGTGCATCCCTGCCCCGAGCAACGTACAGCCGCACAGTGAGGGCAGGAGCCGGGGGCAGGAGCAGGCAGAGGTGCTGGCAGCTGGCTCAGGTGTCCAGAGCTGGGATCAGGGCAGTGGATTTGGGCTCTGCAGCATCCTGCAGCCCTGAGTTCGCTGCTTTCCTGCTTGGTGTTTTTCATCAGTGAGCACCATCTGTACCAGAGCCGGCAATTGTTATGACCTTTAAGGCTCCATCCAGTGGCCACTTCCTTCAGATGCTTTTGTGTCTTACTACGATCCCAGGCATGCTGCCAAACTCTAAACGCACAATGAAGGCAGGGAACATCTTTCCTCCAGTTTCAGAAAGGAGAAACATCACCCAAAACAACCTGCTCAGATGCCAAGATTGGGTCTAGAATTATTCCTGTTTCATTAATACTAGAGATGAGTGAGATAAGAAAGTGCACCTGGTAGGAGGATTGTAAAATAATTAATGCATAATGTTAATAACGATCTTCTTATTCCAATTCTGCTTATTACCACAAGCTTTGCATGAGTCCACCATGATGTGCTGCATAAAGCAGATACCTCCTGAACCTGATTTCCTGTTTGAAGATGATCTCTAGCTGAGAAATTACCTGCTCTCGAAACTGATTAGAGTCCTCATCAGCAGATTCTTCACCCATCCTTTAGGCAGGCCCTAGAATATACAGGGAATTGAGAATAATTCTATGCAGGAGGTAAAATCTGGAGCTAGGTGGCTCAGCTGTGCGCCATTCCCAGTGAAAATCCAGACCAAGCAGTGATGGCAGCAGATTCCCAGTCCTAATCCAGGTGCTCTGAGCTGTCCTGATCCAACCAGTTAATGTTTTGCTCCTGTGGCACCTTCCAAGCTGGCAGACACCACTGGCTGCCTCTGGTTTATTACCCCTTCCACCCTGAGCACTTTGGGGGGCTGGTGCCAGCCAAGTACCAGGTGCCTGCCAGCCCCTGAATAGAGGTAGGCTGGTGTCAGCAGGCCCTGCCTGGAGGAACAGGGCTCCCTGCCTTGGGAAAGTGGGATCTCTGAAGCTGCCTGCTGTGCACCATACAGCCAGTCACCCTGGAAGGAGCCTGGCATGGCAGAACCCTGCTGGCTTCCACCCCAGACCCCTGCAGTTGTAGTCAGCTGGCTTTCTGCTCCCTTCACATGGTGGTCCAGCTCCATTTGGAAAAGCAATGAGGTATTTTTCCTCCTCTGTTTCCCATGGTTAAAAACTGTCTCCTAATTTCCAGCCTACATTAGCCAGTTTAAGTCTATTTGTTCTTGTGCCAGAACAGTCTTTTAGCTTAAATGGTTCCTTTCTGTACCTGGTGTTTACTGGCTTGATATATTTATGGAGAGTAATCATATTCCTGTTTTGCCTTTCTTTGCTGGGCTAAACAAGCCAAGTGCTTTCAGCTTCATCTTACAAGACAGGCTCTCCATCCTGCTCTATACTAATAGCCCTTCTCCCAGCATGAATTCATCTCACTGGAAGATGGGTCACCATGGCTGTGTGCATCTCCCAGTGCTTGGCACAGCCATCAGTGCCCACCCTGCCTACACTGGTGCCACCCCAAAGCAGGCAGCCGCAGCTCCAGGCACGCTGGTGCTGCACATCTGCTCGCCTTCCTCCCAGCAGACTGTCACTGGATGAGGTGACACTGGCAGGAGATATTGCCTTCTCCCTCAGGCTGGCAGCAGAAAGGCCAGGTGTTCCTGCGCACTGAGGAGAGCTGGTTTCTCCCCTCTCTGCCACACTGCATTGGTGCAAGGGTGGAGCTCTCCCGCAGGGGGTTATAAACTTCCATAGCCTTAAATGAAACTCACAGAGGACGCACAGACTCATCCCACTAAACGCAAGAGGGAGATGGTATCACCATGCTCTGATGGTCACTAATAACTTTACCTCTCCTGTGCTATTCTCAGCAGAGATAAACTTCCAGTGTCTGATGAGCCAGAACAGAAATATCCAATGGCTTTCTGTTCTTTTCTATTTTTGCTGCAAGCTGGTTAACCCTGAAATCCAATTACTGCTCATTATTCAGTGGAACTTGCTTCTTATCAAATGGACACACTGCAGGGCTGCTGTGCTGACTCCCAGTGCTAATGGAGCCACAAATTACTCCTGCCACGCTAGTGGACCCATAGGTGTGAGCCTGGGGGTACAGTTCTGGCACTCCACACACATGCAGAGCTCCAGAATGCTGACTCCTGAATCCCTTCCTGTGACAGGCAGCCTGTTGCTGCTGAGCACACTGGCCATGGGATAACGCAACCACACGCTCCCCAGAGCTGCACTGGCTCCCAAGGTTGGTGAGACATGGTCTTGCTGGAGTCCCCCTGCCCAGCCACCCATGGGTGCCAAGGGTCAGTCCCACTCCCTGGCAGGGGCTGAGCTGGCAGGAGCAGCCTTTAAACCCCGGGGGTTACACGCACAGTGTGAAATGCCAGAGGCTGATCCAGGCGCGCCTTGGATTAGCCTGGGAGGCTCCGGGTGCGGGAGAGTCTGGCTCCCTGCATGAGCACAGGAAGCGGGCACGCAGCCAAGCCCAAATGCCGCCTAATTCACATTCGGTGCTGAATTCAGCAGGTGGGGAAAGAAAAAAAAAGGCTTTGCAGTTTTCTTTGCTGATTAAAGTCATGGCACAGCAAGTTTCACCTACATTCATTAGCAAGAAGGGAGGGAAGGGGATGTTCCCAGCAGCAGCTGCTGTGATGCTCCCCATGCTCCCCCAGCACAGAAGAGGCAGCGGGCATAGATCAAACCTCTCACCTGTGACCCCGTGCTCCCTGAGCTGGATACAGCCCCAGGGCCCTGCATCCATCTTCCTCTCTCTGGCATGGCTTCAGGGACAGTTTCTCTGGTCAGCCTATCTTAAATAAGCTCCACAGTAGTCTCTTTTTCTTTCAGATGGTCGTCAGTCCTTCTAAAAGACAGTTTAGCTAATACCCTGTGGAAACAGGTGATGGGAATGGCTGAGGATACTCCCACTGAGGCATCCTGATGCCATTGGATGTGCCTGCCACACTTTCTGGCACTCACTGCTGCAGCATCACTGGGCTGCTGGTGAGCCCTGCCAAGCCCTGCCTGCTGCTCCCTCCCTCCCCACTTCTCCCTACCTGCAATATCCCCCCTCAAGTTTCTCTTCAACCACACCAGTGAGCAGTATTCAGACCAGCCATGGGCAGTGGGTATCCAGACCAGCCATGGGCACAGAGCAGCATCACAGCCTCATTACAGTGACACAAAGCCCCAGACCAGTGTTCACTTGTTCATTCTCACCGCAGAGCTGCTGCTATCGGCTCTTCCCTGCTTTCCCTGGCTGCAGCAGCCTTTTATTCATGGCACTGGCCTCCCATGCCCTTCAGAAAGATGCTCATGTGAAGTGCCATCCACTCACACCCGAGGCTTTGTGGCTACTGCCAGGAGGATGGGAGCAGCATGATGGATGCTTGGGCAGGATCATCCCCAGCCAAATTTCAGCTCCTGCACCCAGTCCTCTGCTTCCATTTCCTGCTGCCTTGTCAGCCACAATTGTCCTTATTACAGATGATTAATTCCCTGTGCCACCCTCCCAGTTGGTTAAAGGAATTAACACCCTGGGAATGACACCAGGGATACCCAGCAGTGGTCTTCCCTCCACATTCATCCACACCTGCTGGGCATCCACAAGAACAAAAGCCTTCAAGGTGGCACTCTTTGCTCCTGTGGGACACAGCAGCTCCTCTTGGTGCAGATGTGGTTCCCACCCTCCAGCCCTGGCTTAGCTTCCTTCTGCTCCAGCCAAAGGCAGAGTATACCAGGGATCTGATGAAGGGGAAAGGAGACAAAGAAACCAATGTAACCCAGTAAGTGAAAGATTAAACATAATGCCAAGTAAATTAATATACAAGAAGGGAAGGCAGGTTTTAAATTAACTCATTATACAGCCTGGTTTTCCAACCCATTTATTTATCCCATAGGTCCTGCAGCTTCATATGGAAAATGGCTTCTGCTTGACTGCTATCAGAGCCCAAACGCAGCACGATGTGGTTGTGCAGCGGCCGCCCGAGGCTGGCAGGCGACACCTGAGTGTGCCCACAGAGATGTGCGGGGATGGGTAATTGCACATGCAAAACGTTCGGCTGTAACAGCAAACAGGACGATTGAGCAGAGAAATGGGAATCCATTTCCATGCACAATTACCTGGGGAGGGCTAAACCACAGCTCCGGGAAGCAACAGAGATAGGTCCCCACCTTCTCCCCCTCCCAGAGCGCTGGGTGTGCGGTGTGAGAGCCGCCTCCTCTCGGTGCCTGCCTGTTTCCCTGGGGAGCAGGGCATTTCCATCCTCCCAGGAACTGGGGGACGCTGTGCAGAGCTGGATGAGCCCAGTGCTTATTACTGGGTTAGTCTGATTATGGAGCAGGCAGCTTATTGAACAAGCTGTTCTTTGGGGTGGATTTTCTGGGAAAAGGGGCAGAGAAGGAAGTGAATAGTCTGAGCTCTTGTTTGGGAAGTGGCTGCGATCAGGCAAGGCTTTTCTACAGCATCTCTCTTATTCAGGAATTGCTGTTCCCAGGTCTTACTGATGAGCTGGAGCTGCTTCTTAATAGAAGAGAATAAATAAAAGGGCAAGGGGAAAAAAGAAAAAGCCCAGACCTCATTCTCTTCCCAGTGACTCCTCTTGAGCTGGCAAACAAAAGCCAAGCTGCACGGGGGGATGCTCAGAGCTCTAGAGAGGTGGCTGGTGCTGGAGGCAGATGCAGGTTTCCTGGGGTCTCTGCATGCGGGGGGCAAGGTCTGGGGCTGGCTCTGCCAAGGGGAGCAGCACAGGCCAGGCCAGCAGCCAGCTGGCAGCCTGGCTTTGTCCCCTCTCCTGCCTGCTGGCTTTACTGTACAACAATTCCCAGCCTGCAGGAATTGTACGCCTTTGCCTTGGAAAGCAGCATCTGAGCAGGTCACGATAATGCACTTGGGGGGCAGCAGGATCAGCACTGACTGATGGAGGTGGATGCAGGCAGTGACACAGCACCAGAAGTTTTTAAGGGCAGGAACAGGGCTTGGGGGCATGGTTCCTTCCCAGCAGCACTGCGGTGGGCAGGGCAGGGCTGAGGGCAGGGTGACAGGATCACCCCTTGCACACTCCTGCCTCCTCCCAGGATGAGGGTAATGCTTTGTTTCACTCTCCAGCAAGCAGGATCTGCAGCTCTACTGCCTGTACAGGGAGAGGAGATGGTCCCAGATGGCCCAGAAAAAGCTTCTCCTGGTCCAATCTAGGGGACACGAACAAGGGGGCCACCTCCATGTCCAGGCTGAAGCAAACCCATCTCTCCAAGGACTCTGAGGGCTTTTGAGTCCTGGATTCACGTGGAAAATCCTGGAAGGAGGCAGCCCCCAAGCCCCCCCCTGCACGTGCCTCTAATTATCACACCTTCAGCTCCAGGATCACCAGCCCTACTTTCCCCCATTCATAATTCAGCCTGACACAGCCCAGCAAAAATCAATTCACTCTTATAAGAAAGTGCCAAGGCAAATTATTTCTCAAAGTCTTCGACAGAGCTTTCTTCTCTCCCAACAACTGTATCTTTGGTGTTGAGTCCTAAATTACAGATTAACCCTTTAAGCTCTTCCAGTTTGCCAGACAGGTGACTAATGATGCCCTTGGCAAGAGCACCTTGTTGGCCATCTATTAGAGGATGGGCCTATCTAGCTGTTAGTCCATCCATTTGTCCTTCCCTAATTTATCCCTCTAGACATGCTGTCAGCTGTACAACCCTTGTCATATGACCTTGGCAGGGAAGCAAGTGAAGCAAGGACTGCCTCAGTCCCTAGTGAGGCTGTTCAGGCACTTGGCTCTCTGGAGATCCCTGTCTGGCCTTCCCCAAGGCAGTTTGTGGCCATCTGAGGGTTTTTTCCCTTTGCACAGTGTCCTGGTAAAGTCACCTTAAGGGCAAACCCAGCATGGCATCCCTGCCAGGGTCCAGTCCTGCAACACCCCAGGTGACATCCCTGGGAGTATCCACCAGCTCCCAAGCAGACATGGCAGAAAAATACCAGAATGCTAAACAGCCTTCAAATCAGTTCAGTGAAAAGGCTTTCCCCAGCCTTGGGCCACAAAGGTTAGAAATCAGAGGGAGCCCATGAAAGAATAAATCTAATAAAGGGAGTTTTAATCAGAGCCAAGAGAAGGGGGTGAGAGAACAGATCAGAGTTGTAAACTGGCTGAAAATCAGTCCCTTCATTATCACAAACACATCATTGGAACTTAATAGTATTTGACATTTCATTAATTTAAACCAAGAGTCTTGAGAATAGAGAGAGAAAAAGAAAGAACATTATTAATTTTAAAGACCTCCTCCTGTAACGGCTTACATTGAAAAAGAAAAGAAAAATGTCAGAGGAAAATTGTTTCTTTATGTTTTTCCTCAGTTTCCTGCTCTTTTTTCCTATAGCTTGGAAGAGGTTGATGGGGATGAAAAACTCTGGTCAAGGCTTCCCATGTCTTCCCCAGCCCCAACAGGGGTACGTTCAAAGGCCACGCCAGCTCTGGGCTATCATGGAGTGGATGTGGGGGTGGGATACAGGATGCACATGGCATAGCCAGGTGTCCCTAGAGTCACCTGGCTATAAACCAGCAAGAGCCATGTGCTGGGAGTAATTCATGGACAGGCTCACACAGCCTCAGGATGCTGCCCAACAATGTCCATCTGTCCTGCATCCACCACTGGTAGAGGAGCTGAGGACCGAAATAGCCATCCCCAAATCCAACAGCATCCTCAGAGGCTGTGGTGAGGGGGATATCTGCTCCCTGCTTCCCTGCCAACGAGGAGCGGAAGGCAAAGCTGCCAAAAATAAAACGATTCAGGACACTGTCTCTATTGTAAGGGCAGATGGAAGGCACTGGGGCTGCACTTGAAAAGACAGATCTAAAAGGATGGAATTAAAGAGACTTTGGAGAAAGAGAGGCTTTCTGCTAAAGCTGATGTGCTGCTCTGCAGATAAGGCTCCACTGGTAGAGTGGCAGGCACTTTTTGGATCTAATTGGGAAAGGGAAAAACCCACCTCAACTGTCCCCAGATGCCTTTGGCAGCAGGAAGGTGGCTTCCCTCACTCCTCCAGCTCCCACTGCCAACTTTTTAAAAAGCACTTCTGCATTTTGCCCTGGTATTTCAAGAGAATTCAATAATCTTAGGCAATTATTTCAAAGGATTTTTGAAATTGTCCTATTTTTCCCCTTTCAGTGTGGCTGCACATCACAATGCCCAAGAAGGCCCGGCTGCCTGCGGGGTGGCCAATTTAGCTCAATGGATTTTGACTGCTTTCTCAAGTCCCACTATTGATTTTCTGCTGGGTCCAACCGAGAATTCAGCTTATTATAAAAATCACAACTGGGGCAGAGCTATGTTGCCGGTGCTGCCTCTAGATGAGGCTTCCACCTTCCCTGAGAGTGGGTCCTGCTGCCCTGCAGGTCCTGTGCTTGTAGGGCTGATGGGGTGATGTGACCTGTTAATAAAGGAGAGACATTTCCCTGGCTTCCCCAGTGATGCCCAGGGTTTGCTCTGTGCTGGCAAATACCTGTTTCCTGTCTCATGCCCTGTTTAACAGCATTCACCCTCACCTGCTTCCTGCACAGACAGTTTTAAGTCCTCAATTTCTCTCTTCAGCCAAGGATTTCATTTGCTGCCAATGAAGCTGGTGGTTTCAAGAGCTGGGCCAGGTGACTTGCCTTAAGGCAGATGTTCAGTGTTACTCAGCCAGCTGAAAATGGGAAAATAATAGGAAAAACAATGACTTCCATGCTGAGCTTCTTGTACTGGCTCCCAACCTCACCATCCCATGCCCAGAGGACACCCCTGTGCCACCATCTTCCCCCAGCTAACTGAGTCTTACTCCTCATTGCTGTTCAGCATGCCCTGGAAGGGGTAAGGAGATGCTGAAGCCACCCCACAATGGCTTTGGCTTTTGTTCCCTGTTATTGCTGCCTCCTGACAGAGCAGGAACACAGGGGGGATATTTATGAGCCCTACCAGCAGTGGGGCTGGCTCTGGGCTGTGTCTAAAGCATCTCCGTGTTTTCCCAGCTTTAACCACCTCCCAGATATTTACAGCATTTGACAGCTGGAGACAGAGTCAGGCTAAAGTGCTCATCTGCTTCCATGAACGACCTGCACCTCAGGGGGAAATTGTTAGGGGACACTGGAGGAGAGGGGAGGGGAGCTCCTGGATGAAAACATGAACATTTCACCACATTTACCACATCAGGTCCCCCTCCCCAAATTCCCCATGGCCAGGAGGAGCTGGGGATGAGCATATTATACCAGTGTGAGGGACTCCCTGGTCCCTTGTTTCATGCACAGAGGCCAGGCTGGTTGGGATTTAGCAGATCCCCTCTCGCTTTCCCTCTGCTTCCCATCCCAGCTATAGATCTGCCTCATTTTTCTCTCTTACCCACACCCCCTTCATATGCTGGTTATTTTTCTTCACCACTTTTGCATCCTATTCATCTGCCTTTCTTTCCATCTCATCTCCCCCATCCTGAAAGGCTTGTCAGGAGAAGAAAGAGCAAGCCCAGCTTCTTCCAGCTCTATTTGCCAAATAAGGCCTGAAGTCAGGTTTTATTTAACAAAAGGAAAATGAACTGAATGCAAGTAGGCCAGAAGAAGCGCCTGTGGATAAAAAGGATGACGGCAAAGAGAAGGATGAACACGGCCGAGGAAGAGCATCCCCTTGGGGTTCTGGACACAAGCTCGTGTCCAGAGCCAGGTCCAGTGCTGGGGCAGCCATCAGCCACAGCCTCGGCTCTTGTGCTCGTTAGTGGTGCTAAAACAGCGTGACAAATACGGGAGTGTCACAGGAGCTTGGGAAGCCAGTCAGGTGGCTAATGAGCTGGGTTAGGGCGTCGTTATTTGAAGCCAAAGCAGTGTTTCTTTTCCCCCATTGGCTATAATGCAATTAGAGAGGCAGCAGCTATTGGGAACAGCAGCAGCAGAGCGAGGAGGGGGAGAAAAGCTGTGGAAACCCCTCCTGCTCCATGCCATGGTGTGGGAAGCACAGCCTAAGGAAGAGAAACTTCCTTAGAGGATGGTCTATCTCCTCAGGCCCTCCAGGACATGGAGAACCAAACCCCCCAAGCAACCTGAGGACAAGTTTAGCTCAGCCCTGATCTGCACCACAGCTGCCCACTGTCCCTAAATCTCAGCTCTCCTGGTGCCTCCCTTCCCAGCCAGGGGTGTCTCTTGGTGCTGGGGATCCATCTGCCCTCAGTCAGCATTGGGCACAGAGGGAGCTTTGCCTTGCCTGATGACAAACCCTTCCCCATGCCTTTTGGGTTGTAAGGCATCACTCAGCTCCCTCCAGCCTTCCTCAGTGATACTGCAAGAGGGTAGTGCCCCTATAGCACTCATGGGGCTCCTTCAAGGAATCCGGGGGGATATAAGACCAGCTCCTCTCGGTCTGCACCCCCTCCTTCAAGCCCAGGCTTTCAGAGTTCTTTCTTCACACAGTTCACTCAAGCAGGCTCAAGGCAGCTGAATCAAAAGCAACTCAAAATACATTTCTGCAGCCTTTCTGGAAAAATAGGCTTTAAAGAGGGGCCTGGCCCTGTGCCCAGGAAAGTTAACTTCAATTGACTCGGCTGCATTTTGCTCCAGGCTCTCTGATTTTTCTGGAGCGCCTTGTAATATCAAAATGCTACTGCGAGGAAATTAAATCCACTGCACTTAGCACCAGTGTAAGCTCTTTCCTGCATGCCACACTCTTACACAGGCACCAGAGTATCTTTACCGTCACCTACCTCAGCCTGCATCACTGCAAACACACATCCCACAGCATCTGCAGGATCAGGTCCACAGCTTTCCTCCCAGGAATTTTCTAGTTATTCACAGCCATGGCTCCTGGCTGCACATCACTCGCCAGCCTTGCTCCCGAGATGGGCAGGAAAAAGAGAACCACAGCAGTAACAGAAACACTACTGCATAGAGCTTGTTTTGGGGGTTTACGATTTTTCCTTGTGTTTCTTTCTATAATGGAATTTCGTCCCATCTGTCGCTAAGAAACCGTAACGACCAGTACTTGAGAGCGACAAAAGAAGTTGCCGCGGGAAGGGTGAAGCTGGCTACTCTCTTATCTGAGGGCTCTCTCTCGGAGGGGCAGAGATAGGCGAGATTTGGCTGGGGGAAGTGGATCGGGTGCAGCTCCCCGCTCTCGCTCTCTCGGTGTCGGAGGGGAAGCCGGCTGCGCTCACTGTGGGGAGAGTTCGCCAGCGCTGCGAGGCTCCGTCTCCTGCTGCCTTCTCCTTCCCGGAGCCAAGCTGTGCTCGTGGGAGCGGCTGTTGCACTGGAGCCTTATCAACACCCGACCTCAGCTAAAAAAGGACCCTTCACCGTCTGCTCGGGTGTCTCAAGGGAAAGCCCTGGATCCCGGGCCCTCTCCTCCTCCAGGGGAGTCTCTCCCGGCCGTGCTCGGGAGCCAGGCCGCGGCTGCCCGGGCCCGCCGTCTCGCTGCCACTGCTCCGGGTTTTTGCTACACTGTAGCCGCACACCGCCCGCCTGCCGGGACAGCCCGCGGCTCCCGGCACAAGTGGCCGGTTTCTGNCTGTGCCTGTCCGGCTGTCCGTCTGTCCGTCTGTCCGCCTGTCCGCCTGTCCGTCTGTCCGCCTGTCCGTCTGTCCGCCTGTCCGTCTGTCCGTCTGTCCGCCTGTCCGCCTGTCCGCCTGTCCGCCTGTCCGCCTGTCCGCCTGTCTGTCTGTCCGTCTGTCCACCTGTCCGTCTGTCCGCCTGTCCGTCTGTCTGCCTGTCCGCCTGTCCGCCTGTCCGCCTGTCTCTCTGTCCGCCTGTCCGTCTGTCCGCCTGTCCGCCTGTCCGTCTGTCTGCCTGTCCGCCTGTCCGTCTGTCTCTCTGTCCGCCTGTCCGTCTGTCCGCCTGTCCGCCTGTCCGCTACGTGCACACACCGGGAAACAACTGCCCTTCCTTTCCCCACAGCTTTGCCCGAAAACCCCTTAATTTCCAAGTTACAATCATTGGGAGGGAAGGGGTGATATTCTCCATTCCAAGGGAGGTTCCTACCTGTCTTCCAAACCAAGACACTTTTACATAATATATTCTATATTTACTCCCCATGTGGGTCATAGCTTCTCTCATCAATACACTCCAATGGGAGCCTTTGTGCTTCCTTTAAGTTAAACCCTAATTTACCCCAGTGAGTAGGACCTGGATACAGAGGCAGCTGAATCCCCATGGCTTGTTCCCATTCCCACTCTTGTTTGCTGTTCCTGGCCATTGCCAACTAACTGGTGCCTTTGGCTTGGTTTTCTGGGGGAAAAGACAAGCCTAGACATCTCATAAGATGACTGAGGTGTGATGCAGCTTTCAGATGGTTGGAGCAGTGGGGCTGGGGGATATCCCTGGTTGGGGATGCTCTTGGGGAGTGGATACTGACCCACTGGAGGTGCAGCCCCCAAAGCCTCACATCAAGGAAGGGGCTGCATGACCAGCAGCCTCTGCTCCCAGGGGTATCCGGCTTTTCCTTTTCCACAGCTGGAGAAGCTGCCTGGCCAACTCTCTGCCTTGTTTGAAATGTAGCACTTCTTAAAACAAAGGCATTTGGCCTTAAATCCCCTTTTACTCCTCCTCGTGACCAGCTTTGCTCTGGGAGCCGGGTGTGCTCAGCAGCAAACCCACGTACAAGGAAAGCACATCAGCTCCTGGTGGGAAAGTGAATTATTGAAGCCAAGGGAAGCTGTGACGAAGCAATCAGGGTGGACTGCCGTATGCTCCCAGTGAATTATTCAAAGCCTGGTTTTAAAGCAATTCCTGAAATAAAGATGACAGAGAAACAGGGGTGAAGAAAAAAACACTGTAAAGGGCCACTGTGATGCCTCCCTAGGTGTGGGGACCAGGCTGTCCCCTCCACAGGCTGCTGCTGCCTGCTAGAGATGGGCATACACACAAAAATACACCCTGGATGTATCTTTTAATGCTCTTTTATCCTAAAGTTGGACAATTTAGTCTGGATGGGCTGGTTTAACCCCACTGGCAGGAGAGCCAAGCAAAGAAAAAGTCCCTGCTTCAGAGGACATCCTGTGAATTTATTTGATTTCAACAGACCTGAAAGCAGCAGAGCTAGAAGACGTGCGGCACAGGGAATGGGGAAAACCAGGCTGAACTGCCTTGAAGGCTCCTAAAGAAAGCCAAACCACAAAGGAAAACAAGAAGGAAAGAGAAAATGCTTTATTACATTTGTTTGAAGTGAGGAAGATACAGGTATGAGCAAACACTGAACTGTTTTGCTTCTGCTCACAAATGAACACACCGCTGAGCCTAATGGGATTTTAGATTAAAAGTTTTCACAAAAAATAACAACCACCTCCACAAATAGAGTTTTATAAGGTCAAATAATAGATGCAGGGGAATAAAAACCACTGCCAGTGTTATACCTCCTTCTGCAGGGATCCTTCTCTTGGCCTGAGCCCGTCTTCAGGTGTCCTCCTCTAATTCCTGTGTTTATTCTCGGTGGTTGTGTTTCCTGCTGAGGGTGGCTGGGGAATAATCCTTTGGCATCCTATTTTGGCTGCCTTTTCTAGGCAGGGCTTTACAAGTAGTTTGGCTCCCATGAGCCAAGGCCACCTCTGGGGAGCAGCAGGGCTGGGGACAGGGAGCAGAGATGGCCTGGGTGGCAATAGGACGCTCCACAGGGAAAGGCATTTCCCCACAGGGTTTCCCATCACTCTTGGGGTTTGTCCATTATTGCAGGGCTGCAGACTACCTTAGCATCACTCAGAGGATCGCTCCCCAGCGCCCAGGAGGGTTCTGATACCCACTGACACCTCCCTTGCTAATAGGAAAACGTCCATTCTACACACAGACCTTTCCTTCACCTGTTGCTAAAGGACACAAAATGATTCACACTATTACCTTCAGTGTTAGAACAAAAACCCGTGACTTTATTCTCTGACTCCAGTATTTATAGAGTCTCGGCTATGACCAGGAATTGGGTAATTAAGTTACCACCTTCCCAAGCACACTGGTCATGCAAAACATCCACCAAAAGACATTTCTTAGAAGGAATGTGATAAACAGCTTATATTTATAGAACTTTCATGGGAAAGTAACTAAAACTATGAAAACATTATCTGAAGGCTTTAGTTTTCAGGGCGACATTTCCCCACCTGTTTCTGCTGGCCATCGGATGCACGTGCCCCATGACTCATTTTTGGAGGTATCAGGTACTTTCAGCAACAATTGACTTCAAGGACATTGGGGGTTTGCAGCACTCTTGAAAAATTAGGCAACTTCTGCACGCCTAAATAGATGCTTAATGACAGACACTTGTGGGTGAGCTGTTGGCAGCAGCCCAGCACCGAGGTGAATCAGACACCGCTGGGATGGGTGACGGCTTTTTCCCTTGAAGTGTTCCCTGCTGTACCCTGCGTGGGACAGGCCAGCGTGTCCCCTGCGCACCCCAGCATCCCGGGTGGGCTCTTTGAGAGCGCATCCCAGCCTCCCTGGAGCGCGCAGCAGCCTCCTGCAGAGGGATGCTCAGGTGGCTGCTGCAGAGGATCCCGGCACGAGGTGCCTGTGTTGGCCGCCCCGCATGGGTCGTGCCGGGGAGCGGATCCTCTCCAGCAGCCGACCCCGACCACCGGGTGATTGAGAAGCATCGTTGGCCTCTCCAGCGCTCTCAGTCCCCCTTCTCCCCCGCTGATTGCAATCAACACCTCATTCATACGCCTCTGTTTACCAATTTTCCAGGAGGTATCATGCTAATGAAGGGAGCCAAGCAATCAAGCAGCCTCCCAGAAGTGGGGGAAAGGAGAGGGAAGGAAGAAAGGGCTGCTGCCGGGGAAAAAGAGGGGAACGGGCCGGGCGAGGCTGGGAGAAGGGAGAACCAAACTGGGGGCTCACTCTGCCCCCCTACCAGCCCTGCATCCCTTCCTGGTGCAGCTGTGAGGAGAGAGATGCTGCTATCTCTTGGGCAACATCTGCAGCATCCTCGACAATGGTACTGAGGTGGCTGGGTACCACATTGAGGAAGATGAGGAGGCTGGCCACAGCACTGCAAGAAAGGCTTACAGCTTCTGGGAGTGTTCAGCTCAACCTCAGGAGAGCACAGTGCTGAGCCCGGGTTCACAGGCTGTGCTCTTCAATAATATTTGCCCCAGGAATTATAAAAGTGCTGTACAAGCAAGGGCTCCATGCAGGTAACAGAGCTCAAATTGAGTGCCAGGTCCTTCAGGACATCACCTTGGCTGCCTGGAGGTGGCATCACCAGTACTTCTGGTGGGTTTATCACTTCTACTTACCTGGTACAATGGTGAGAGAGGTAGCACAGTTTGCTCCCTTCTCACTAAGATGCAGAATAAGGGGTACGATCCTCTGCCCAAAATCCTGCTCTTGGCAGTGAGCCTGAAGCCCTCTTGGCCAAGGGGGGTGCCCAGGCTGCATCCCCGTCTAGCACAGAGTCTGGAGACCAGCAGATCCATGCAGGCAGAGCTGGAAGCAGCAGGGTGGTTTGGGGCTGGATAGAGAGGCCAGAGGAGTGACAGGCAGGGCTGTGTCCCCTCCATGTCCCCATGCCTTCAGCTGTCTGATTCATGCAGACCAGGAGTGACAGCCTTGCCAGACACGAGCTGGCAGCACCTGGAGTCCTTTCCCAGCTCCCACTGTGCTCATCCATCAGGCAGCAGGGAGGACAAGCAGGCAGGGCAGGACTGCCCACCCCAGAAACCCCCCAGAACCAAAAGGTTTGGTGTTGAGAGGAGCCGGGAGGTGTTGAGATTACCCTTAGGGTGTCTCTCCCTTAAGAACACAGCAGCCATAAAAGATTGTCCACCGGGGTTTGCAGACCCCAAACTGCCCATGACATGCTCTTTCCAGCCTGCTCTTGTCCCTTCTGCAAGGCTGTGCTCGGCTGACTGCCCTGGGGCAGGGTCCAACCCTTGCCTCTCCACAGATGGGGACAGGCTCTCCATCACCTCCCGCTGCTTGCTGGAGCGAAGCTGCCACAGGACAGCTGCCCATTCCTGCTGGCTCCTTTCTGCCAGGACTACAGGCTTAGGGAGGATTTTTGAGGCAAGATCCTGTTTTTCAGAGCAGAAAGCTCCTTGGGGCAGGATTTCCAGCACTAGTGGACTGGGATCCCAGGTGGGGTAGAGGGAGCTGAGGGCGGTGCTGAGGCCATGCAGCTGAGGACATCTCCTTGCCGGGAAGTCAAGCAGAAAGGACGGCTTACAGGTGGCAGTCGGGCAACAAATAACACAGTGGAAGACAGACATGATTCCAGCCAGATGGAGAAACAGCAACAAACAATCTGTCTCCGGCAGAGGAGCCCCGACAGCCCCAGCCAGCACAGAGAGGGGAGCACCCTTGAGGCGAGGCGAGCACGGGCTCTGCCTGGCACCCAGCTGGGTTTGGAGCCCACCGGGACCCTGCCACCTCCCCACCCCACTCCAAGCCCGGGGTCCCACCCCTTTTCCCGGCAGGAGCTGGATTTTGAGGCTTTGAGAGCTGCCTGTACTCCCCCCTTGCCTGCTATGCACAGCTGATTGATGAATGGGCT